ATGTATATTATTATAGTTCCAATAGTACCGTGCTTCCAGAATTCGGATTTCTTTATCGGTTTCCTGGTTTGGCAATGTTCGGATATACTGATACTCACCAACACCAACTATTTATACATTTTTATTCTCCGACCCAAAATTCGCTCGACCTTCAGTGTGCTCCACTGCCAATCTTCCCCACTGTTTTGCATAATGGCCATTTTTTCTCGTGAATGCTAAACTCTGTTGGGTGACGTTAGGATTAATCTTCTGCGAACGCACTTTCCGGTTTGTTTGAAAGCATTCTTTACCATGAGTCTAAACCTGTGTTGGATATGCATGACCCACATTCCATTTTATGCGTGGGGAAGCTTTTGTTTGCATGCCTGGACGGATATCCCAGCTGAGATTCTGTTATCTCTTTATCTACAGGTGTCCAAGGTAGCTCAGCACACAGATCATCTAATGGAGCTGTGCAAAGCCGGGTGCGATGTCGAAACCTTCATCGAGTCTGTCCACAACGTCTGTTCCTAACGGACACGCGCGCTGTTGTCTGGTTTTAGCAAAATGAATTACAACTGGTTCGTACCGTGTTCTGCCGTACCGTGTTCCATCAAACAAGCTGTCCAGAAATTGTTCGATAAAACCCAATGAATTCAGCCAGAACCGACCGGATTCTCAGGCGCTGTTGGCTGATCAAGACGCCTTCACAAACCTGACGCACTGATGCACGCACGATGTACAGGACAACTGAAAATAGGACAGTGAATTGACACAGGTAGGACAGTGTTGTGGACATCTGTCGACTCAAATGTGTTGCTCAAATTTCAATTTTTCTCTACAGTCTCTTTTCAGTCGCTTTTCACTCACACAGTCAGTTACAACCTCACAGACAGCTTAGTTGAAATCGTTGGGAAGGCGTCACTTTGTCTAAAAATCAATCTGCAAAGGGGTAGTTTGGAATCTTCTGTTTTGTTCTCTACCCTCACGCGGGTAATTAATGAAGAGGCGGACAAAGGCAGCAAAAATTCTGAAGCACATTTACCAACCGAATTCTTAGAATATCGCTGGAACCGGCAGGTGTTCAGCAAGAGCAGTAAGTATTAGTTGGAGTTGCATGGAAAACTGGGACTGTGTTGGAATATTGGGAGCTTGCCAACAGCGCACTGAAGATGTCCCCTCGAATGGTCACGAAACGTTTGCAACTAAATTGCCAAGCTCGGCGAACAGATCTACAGCTACCTGATCAAATACCAACAAAACTGGGACTATAAGATGAAAGAACGCGACCATAAATTAGCTTGATACCGTCTTCAAGAGCTCAGCAAGCGTTCTTATACAAGTAATAAGGATGTGTCTCGGTCTCGTTTAGGGGGCGTTGAGAGTACGCAACAGGCCCATTAGCGTCCTTGTATAGACATGTGTTACATTATTTCATCACAGTATATGCTCAGGGGTGTTCTGGTTTTTTCTTGCTCTCTCGGGAACGAATGACCTGTGAATCTATTTGAGTGTTGTTGTAAATGAGGGTACATTTTCGCCCGGTCGGGAAGTTGTCCAAACAAAGTTGTCTTCAAATGAGGCAGTGTGGCATATGTTTGTTACCCTTCCTCAATTACTCCTTTACGATTTGCTCTGTTGCGCTGAATGTCGTGGTGGGTTAAATGTGTTGGCCGGTTCGAGAGATAAAATTGACCTGAGAACGAACGGCACCGAGTGCGTCTGGGCCACTATGGAGATTTCCGGTACCATTTCTCTTTTTCCGTTTCATTATCTCAGGCAACTTTGCGATGCTTCCGGCGCCTCCACAATCCAATATTTTTTATGCACTGCCAACAGACGAGTCTCTCAGAGGAAGAATCGGATGACACCTCCAAAATCTGACTGATATCTGGGACGATCGGTTTAGGGCTTGCAGTGATGACTAAGCTGATGCTCTCTTACAAACATGAGAAGTGCGAAGGATGTACCAAGTCACATCTTGATTAGAAAAAAACGCGTTGCAAAACTATATGAAACGGCCAATCCCGCTACTTCCACTTGCCAGAGGATTTACACCACGCACTTGCAGAGCTTTCACATCAACAATCGGCAGAGCTTACGAAACCACGTCAGTTCACGTTTGCCGGGTTCACGGATGAAGATCCCGTAGCCGCAGACATTTTAGGATTGGTATGTGCGAACCTTTCTAGGGTGATTCGAGAAGGTTGAGAAGGCGGCTGGACCGGAGACCGACCAAGGTAATTTGGCGGCACTGAAGACTTTTCTCAGAGGCCTGACCCAAGTGGCTGAGAAGGGATCCCCGAAGGGAGGATTTGTACGCCGCGGGGGGCGTACTTGCAGCGAGGCTCGATACACTGTCGACTGCCAGGAGACTATCAGGCGTTCCAAGAGGGTTAGGATGGAACCTGGATGTAGCCCGAAAGTGTTCTCCACCAGCATGGGCGGGCCGTCGTGCGAGCAGTTGCTCTCTGACCAGTTCACTGAAGAGTTGCAGCCTGCGCTTCATGTCCAGCTGCGGTTGGCGAGAGCACCTTGTCAGCTGAGTGAGGATCACTTGGTGAATCTGGCACGCGAATTGACCGAAGTGTCATTTGCCACGTTGCAGCCGCGGGTGAAACGGGATGTTCCAGCATTGGAAGACCTCAAGAACATGGCGTACCGAAACGTCGACCTGATTGCAGCCATCAATTCCGGGTTACGGAGGCACGCTCACATGGGCCGATGCTACAATGCAAGAATCAACGTCCTTGTACTCAATCACTCGTATATAAAATGCTTGGAATACTGCTCTTTTCCCGGATGGGTTGCGATCACTCCAATGACGCAGGCTTCCATACAGGCCATTACCGGAATAGACATGAAGTGGGAGCTGTGCCTGATTGATACAAGAGCAGGGGTTTCGCTTAGACGGGGAGAGAACGGAGTTGAATGCAATTCGTTAGCGCTGGGCGTGGGAAAATTGGGTGGATACCGAATGAAGATTGACGGATTGTCGATGCAGTCAACGCGCTTAGGTGACAGATCCTTGCAGCGCGAGTTCCTCATCAGCCCAGATATAGAGCAAACAATTTCGATAGCAGATTTCCTCAAGAGCGCAAATTCCGCGGTTGACCTAATGTGGGAAAACTGGCTGATTTGCTGTCGAGACCAGAGGCTGAAGATCAGCCCCCAGGATCATGATGGGTGCCAATGGTCTCGTCGTCGGACTGCCTGGTGTCATTTCTTCCAATGAAATCGGGTCCCTTGAGACGCAAGCTTATGGTCGGGTGCAGCTAGATAATGCACACTGGTTGCAACATGACGTACGACTTACTTCGGCAGAGGACCTATTTGCTCGGGATGAGAAGTGAGATGATGGAATATATGGTGTTCTGTAAGTGGTGCTGACTAAAGAAAGGGGATACGGCAAGGGCGACCGATTCCATGGCAACGTCTCCTGCTCAGACATCGGCGAGTTCTGGTTCGTTGACGTCATGAACCGGTGTCGGCCAGCGGAAATCAATATAGCTTGTTAGTGACAGAACACCTATCGCACTGAGTCTACATGGAAGCCGTGTCAATCAACGGGCGGTGGCAATCCGCTGTGTGGTAGTCCATCACATTATGGTCAAACATGGTACCAAAATGATCCAAACCGATCAGAGACTTTGATTTGAGAACGAGCTCCTCTCAGATGGGGCGTTTGAAATGCTCGTCAGGGTCGGAACTACACTAGGGATAGAGGCAGTCCCCAGATGTTAACAGTAAGAAAAATCTTGGTTAGGTTTCTTCTTGTATGTAAAGGCAGTCTACGCCAAGAAAGATTAGGTGCACTGTAAAGCTGTTTCATCTTTCGTGTAAATCATTCGCAGTGCACATCTCAAGGAATTTTGGGTAGATTTAACCGAACACGTGACTGGTCGGCTGGTGGCTTCAGCTCTTAACCATCGAGTCGGTGATGGGATTAGCTGTCGCTGAAAGACGATATGACGCCGCTTATCCTTAAATAACGGAAAACCACATCATCTGGTCACGTGTTGACTGGATCTTCGAGTGTCGAATTTTTTGGGACTATGGGACAAGAAAGGAAAGCTTTTACATGCGCCTTGTTTTTAGAAAAATAACCGTCTTCTTGAACGCATCTTCTCGAACTTCCCTGCCCATTCACCGACCATCAAGCAATTATAAACGAATGCTGCAAAGCAGTTCCACAAATTTCGTAATTTCCATTAGATAAATGCTGAGTTACGAAAAGGCACATTCTATTCGTCCTCCCTCATGTTAGTATCAACGGTTACACAATGATCCCGCTTCAAAATCGCTTGCATGCCCACTCAACCCGAAATACTGAAGACCCTTCCTTCTGATGAATGCAAACAGTTGGGCGATTCAATCCGCTTTGTAATTCAGGTCTTCCTTTGTTGCCTTATCCCTGGTTCTCGAGGCCTCAACGTGGCAAGTGACACCTCGGTCAATTCGCGTGCCAGATGCACCAAGTGATCCTCACTCAACAGACAAGTTGCTCTCGGTAGCCGCACCTGAACACCAAGCGCAGGCTGCATATCTTCAGCGAACTTGTCAGACAGCAGCTGCTCGCACGACACTCCGCCCAGTCTCGGCAGGCCCGATTCAACGAATGCTACAGGCTGGTGAAAAACACTGTTGGGCCACACCCAGGTTCCATCCTAACCCTCTTTAAACGCCTCATAGTCTCCTGGCAGTCGACTGTGTATCGAGCCTCACTGCATGTGCGGCCTCCGCGGCGTAAAAATCCTCCCTTCAGGTATCTATTTAGGGTGATTACAGAGCCACCTCCGACAGGCCTTTGAGGAGTCTAACTGGCCCGTCCTTATTCGTCCTGTGAATACATCGTGCAATAGTACGTCAGATTTGTGGAAGTGTCTTTATAAGTCCGCCAGACCTGAGAATCCGGACGGTTTTACCTGAATTCCTTCGGTTGATATCGAACAATTTCTTGACCGCTAGTCTGATGGAAAACACAACCCATGTTTTCTAACGGTAGCAGAACACGATACGGACCAGTTGCAATTCATTTTATTTTGGCAGAATCACTCAACATGTTGCGTGTCCGTTAGGAGCAGCGTTTGTGGATAGACTCGATGAGGGTTTCGGTCTCGTATCCGGCTTTGCACAGCTCCGTTAGATGAGCTGTGTGCTGAGCTACCTCTGGGACCTAAAGGCAGAGGGATAATGGGCTGTAAGCTGGGAAAACTGTCCGGGCATGCAAACGATATAATCACCGCGCGTACGACGGTTCGAGGGTGATCCATGTCCTATGAACCTCACTGAAGATCGAGATTAGAAAAAGTTACTTATGAGATGTTTTGGTGACTATCCACATATCTGATTTTCGAATATTTCGAGGCTTCTTCATATAACCTCCTACGCTGCTAGCAGAGAACACGCGAAATTCTTCAGCTACTTAGTAGGCGAGTGAAACCGTGGGAACTCCACGAAACAAACAAATCTTCCTGGATTTTGTTCGAGTTGAATAACAATACCAGTAAATTTAGCAAGAGTTGCTTCCCTGCATTCCCTAGCAGGGTAGCAGTGATGAACACACGGATCCTTCGTCACGACAGTCCGTTGTCGCTTTCGAAAAAAACCATCAGCCAGACGCGGTGGTCGGTTTAGACCGACTGGGGGTCAATTCATGCCAGAGAGGGCAAGAGAGCCTGTCCGACGAGCTGAACAACTGACCTGAAACTGAACTGAACTTGACTGAACTGAACTGAACTGAACTGAACTGAAATGAAATGAACTAAACCAAGCTAAACTGAACTGATCTGTACCCAGAAATCTTCCTTCCGCTGATGTCAATCTTGGTATAATTACGTGCTCTCTATGAAGAATAGTAGATCCCATTCCATTGCTCTTGGGATTATTTGTAATTCCGATTAACCCACATCACTTTCCATATTCTATGATTCGCCCTAACATTTTCAACCGTAAATGTCGTTTGTTGGACGTCTAACTAGAAGTACGTTGAGACGGATGCTCGGTTTAGTTTACTCCAACGGTGAATGCATTGGCAAATATGGTAGACATAGTTTTGCGCGCTTGTACGTGTGTACCACAGGGGCAACTCACCCGCTGAATTGTGAAGCAGTGCGTCTGGAACTGGTCGAATACTTCCTTGAAACACATGACCTCATCGCTCTTGGACAAGTGCTTTACCGTTGGCCTATGGTGGGTTTTCACATCCATTACGATGTCGTAAAACGTTTCCTTGACGACGTGTCGAAGCTAAAAATAGCAAGCGGAATAGTTGTAGAATATTGTCTGGAGATTATAAAGGACTTCTTGCACAACTAAACGGACCAAGTTCGATTTTCGGCTGGCTTCATGAAATGGCCGCTAAAATGCTAAATTGATAACCAATTACCTGCTCCCTTGCATAGTCAACACGTATTCTCCACTAAACAAATAAATCCTTGGCTATAGCGAACTTTATATCGTGCATTCAGCTCCTTTTTAGGATGATTTGTGTAAGAAAAGAAACTACAAACCTGAAGTGCACGGTGCAGCTTTCGCCAAGCTTTTTCATGTTCCTCCTCGTTTGTGGCCTCCGTCAGGCGTCGGGACATTGAGAACAAATGCAACCGAGAGGAAGGTCTTCTATCTACAACATTCGGCTAGAACGAAAAAGACAGTTGTGCAACGTATACCGTTAACAGGAGCTTTGTCAATGCTCACTGGGAGAATGGTGTTCCTAGACTACTCACTATTGAAGAGAACCTGCACAGTCCATCTATGCATGTATGTATGTGTGTGTGTATGTATGTGTGTATGTATGTATGTATTTATGTATGTATGTATGTATGTACGTACGTATGTATGTATGTATTTATGTATGTACACTTCATCCAAGCTGAGAAGCTGATAATTATCTGACAGACCGGGTGTCACATAGTTCAGATTCGTACACTAATCAACCTCGTTCTCACCATCGAGAGAGCGGTGGCCTCTCCCATAGCCGAAAGTATCTACATGTCTCAAGTACCCATTTTCTAAATAAAACGGACAAACTTTTACTATGATAAATCTCCTAAGGCACTAGCATTAACACCGATTTGTGATATGAAGTAGAGATTCTGACCATTTCGTTCATTAAGGGAAAAGGTGGGTACCTTCGCTTAAAAGGAGGAAAGCGTTTCTGTCACTAAAGTGATTGACACAATCAATTTCAATTGATCCCAACTTAATAGACTGGCAGTGGACTGTGGAGTAATCACTTGGTTCCCTAAACATATAATGGCGTAAGTATTGAATGTTCCAATATAGAGTTCAAAGTACCGAATATTGAACAGAACACATACCGTTATTGTCACATCATTCCGGTGGGTCAGTAGATCATAATGACCTTGGAACTTTCCAACTGGGATACTGCCCATCGTCTGAAATGTACAATATACACACGCGTATTAGTGTGTTCTCAACTCGGACAGCGTCTTATACCGTACAAAGAGGACGAGGTCCACAATGAATCCGTAGTTCCATAGTTAGGTACCAGGTGCTGGTGGTTAAAGGTCCGACTGATCAATAAACATCTCTTCCCAAAATGGTTTCCCAAGCACTGGTGCACAACAATGATGATCACCGAAACACTAATATGCTCATCTAAGTTCTTTCGTTAAGGTTTATGGAGGTATTCAATATTAAACTGCCAAAATCTCCTCGGAAATGACCGAAGTGCAGTATCCCATTTGCTGGCGTAAGCTGCACTTGGTAACACTCGCTAGTTCAGGAAGCAGTGAGCTCTCTGGATTTTGTCTGTCAGCTAATAAAACTTTCATGGATTAATTTTTTTATGTTCAGACCATGCAACCCGACATCTTGGGACTACAGAATAGAAGAAACCATAGCATCGCTGTTTTTTTATTAGCACAAGTCTTGTAACCAAACAAACTACTCGGTAGGAAGTACAAATATGTGGTTCAAAACTGATGTGTACACAAAGATGCGTTTTACGTTGCCATGAATCTTGAACGTCTTACTGAATGGTTTAAGCCAACTGAACAGTGCGCCAAAGGCGTCGTCAAATTGTATATAATGTAAACTTGAATCACATCAAAATGAGTCTGTGGCATGCTTATATCGATCGATTGTACCCGTGCCATTGTGCATTTTCGCTTTTTTGCCGCCAAGCAGAAGTTTCTTATTCCATTGGATATTTCATCGTTTAAGTGAATGCAATCTGTGCTTAGAAACCGAGGTGCATCGTATAGGTGTTTGATCTTTATTGGTAGTCAGAAGCAGTGCGCATCTCACTCCAGCTGATAATGACTAACCGGCGACCTTCCGGCCAATGGTTGAATACTTGGCCACATCACGTGGCCACATATTCACTGGCTCCTCGTGTGATAAAATCTCAGACGGGAGTTTTAGTTCTAGTGTCAATCTACTATTCACCTGAGTTACTTGAGGATGATTCATGTATATTTGGGTTCCTTTTGTACCACAGCACAGAAGGGTATAGGGCACAAGGTATCCAGTGCCATTGCTTGTTTATCCAAAAGTGGACACTGGCCAGGGTTGCATATCTAGAAACCTGAAATGGCTGACTTGCAGAACTTCGTCTATGGAACATGGGGTACCTAATCAACCATATTTGACCTTACCGTCAATTTCATAGGTAACGAAATGCAACTCTCATCTCGACAAATACACTCATTTTCGTAACAGTTTGGTTTTTCAGAGGTGACTCAGCTGAATCACTCCGTGACAGTTTGTGACTCACCATCTCACCGTACTTCATCACGTGACTATCTTTTGTTCTCCTTCTCACCTCCTCGTACTGTTGATCCAGTGTACGCTTTGTCAAGTCATTCTGCGCGTGGGTGAGTAATAATGACAAAGGGAGGCTACGTGAAATTGATCCAATTTGGGCAAAACCAGTGAAAGCACTAGAGTTAAGACAACCGAGTTAAGGATCCACGCATACTACTGATAAACCGGTGATCTCTCCACTGTTCCAGGACATCATACACATATAACACAACATTAGCATAGAATCCTTATTTCCCTTCTGCCATGCCAAGTTCTGCCTACCTGTTTGTTTGTGACAATCCAGACTGGGCACGGATTACACACCCCGCTCAGTAGCCAGTAATTGGACAGGCGTAACACATGGTCCAGCCAACTTGGCTTGCACTGTTGGATGAATTTCTTGAAAGGTAGTATCGTCTGCTGGGACAATATTTGAATGATAGTCATTCTTTATTAGGTAGACTCAAAGGGCGATAAAGCGACATCCGAATACACCCGTATATGCTACACAGTGTTTCGTAGTTCATTTCGACGGATTTGTTGAGAAGTATGTGTTCAGAAAGTCCAAAGTTATCATCATCCTGATCATCACCATCATCATGCGCATCAACATCATCCTCAACGAATCGTCAGTGTACGACTTTGACACTTTTTCTTCAAGTCCTTCTTGTAGAACATTCTGCGTGCGTAACACGGCCCAGTCAAATTGTAAAGCGTCACTGGAGGTGAGACAACCGAAGTATGGATCGACACATATTACTGATGAATCACTTTTCTGTGCCAGGACACTATGCTCATACACATGTTGGGTATTTGACGCTCTGGGGCAGTCATTGTCATCACCATCATCATCATCACTATTTTCAGCATTGATGTGCAATACCAACACTTCCCTGTGTGCACTCAAAATTCACTTGAAGCCCTATTTAAAAGAAAATAATCAGCGTGGGCTACCACAGTCATGTCGATATGACTGCAGCCCGAGACACTCAGTTTGGCGATCTGAGTCGATAATGGCAGCAACAACAACTCCACTAACATTGATTTGAAGACATACTTTGCAGCGTATTTAATCGGTAACAGTGGGACTCAGGCGATCTCTAAATACGCAAGACTCCAGTGTCACCCAAAGTTTTACACTTACTGAGAGAGCATGGCTAACCCATTGGAAACAATAAATAAGTAGTTAAGGGAATCAAATGGACAACCATTGCCCGATACCTACCACAGAACTATCAATCCACAACTGACAAGCTTGTCTGCAAAAGTTTTGATAAAACTCACGAATTCCGAATCCGTAATCCAGGCATACGAGTATTCGGTCGCCAGACAAATGTCGATTCGCTTGTCATTACAAAAAGAAGACCAGCTTTCTTCATTTTCTTTGGATGAAGTTACCACAAAAACTGAAATTTTGGGATCCAGACAAGAGAACAAATGGATCACTATCAAAAACGTATAAGGTATATTATCGACCAGCTTATGCTGTGACTCACCGAAATCGTGAATCTCCATGAATTCGGAAACTAACACACAAATCGGAAGATCGCTGAAAAATATTCGACAGAACAAAATGTTTTCAAGCTTCTCTGGGTCAATCAGAAAGGCGCAGTGCTCGAATTTCCCTCAATCGTCATCACTTCTAGAAAACTGACTGGACGGAGCTCGCTAAAAACGGTTGGTTCAGGCCTTCCAAATCACATCAGTGTGTAGATATATAATATGCTTTTTCTCTGGAGCTCACTGACGATCATGACAGTCAAAGACAGTCACGTTGCTGGTATTATACATATTGCTTGATCCATGGAAAATGTACGTTTTATAAAGGACTCAAGATCCATTCATAATTTACAAATACGGCGTTCACCTGGAAATGGTGATTGCTGCAAATGTACTCCAAATATCACACCGATATTGCACCGATATTACAGTGACTTCTTCAAACCAGCTGAATCTAATTCAGGAGCAGAGGTGACACTAATCGATGAAAGTGGGATGTTGTTCACTATCCGGCTAAAAGCTTCTTGCAGATGGCCAGGGACTACATCCATTCAAGGATCATAAGAAAACGAGCATGAAACATGCTTAAAACTTCGTTTTGTTGCATTGGTCAGTGCGGTGTTTTGGCCATATGCGAGGAAAATTCTGGATGTTAGTTCACAGGATCTCTACGAGAGCCAGGTAAAATCACGCTACTTACTTCCCACGTCTGAAGGAAGAAGATCACGAAACAGAGAACCAGCGGAGCAAGCATCCAAGTAAATCACCAATTTGTTATACTTTTTGTTGAAATACATGTCGGCGAGGATATCGTTCAGTTCCGTGGCAAGGAGCTGAAGCAATGCAAAAAAATGAAGTTTGGATGAGCTGGAACGATTATAGCTGAACGAGTATTGAGTTTTGGGGAATACTGTCCCACATTATCAGTTGAAGGACGATGTTTGATCCTCCTGAAGTTAACGCTGATTACCCTGGTTATTGTCTTTGTTTTCTTGGAATATCACTGCCGCCATGTCCAATGTGATGTTAGTCAGCTATCCTGGTGACATCCAGTAAACCTACTTTGGAGCGGGCACGCAAGGACCAATGTTGCATTGAATAAGTTTGCAGTCACAAACTCAGAATAATGAGTTGCCGGTTTGAGCGACCGATTTTCATATCACTCCGGGTGTCAATTTCGCCGCCGTGTTTAACCTTTTCTACATCAAATCCACATGGTCCTAAATAGGTTTGGTTGCATTATAAGAACGACTACAACAATCATGAAAACGCTTAGTACAAAGGGTGCCTATTAGGGGGAATGTCACCTTGGTATGAGGAGTTGTAGCACAAGTGTTGTACTACTCGTTGCAGATTGAAATGCCGTCCACTAAGTCAAGACAATCTGTGGAGGATATCCAAGCCCTGATCATGTTCTACGAAAATTTAGAGTGATTTCTAAATGTCATCTTACTACCAACATAATTCAATTAGTACGGAATGTAAAACAGTTCATAAATGAGCTGACTTTCAAGGAGGAAGTTATCAGTAATATGGTTCCATTGACTGAAGGATGAGCGGCGTTATATTCTGTCAAATTGCTGGTTGACCACCCGTGGCCGAACGGTTAAATTTTGTCAACTACAAAGCGCGCCACTATTGATTCCTAATTAGGATGTAACAGGTGTACATTGCTTCTCGTTTTCTTATCACAGACTGCATTCTCATACAAAGTATACGCGGACCCATTCATACTACCAAATTTTCCCTGTCTGTCGAGAAGTAAAAAAGAGCATGTATATCTTTTTAATGTACTACTCATAAGGTTGCTGAAATTCCGTCGACATCCCACGACCCGCTTCGCCTTTTGTGGGGCTCATCAGGTAGGCGCAGTCGCCAGGTTTCCGACAACCTAATGTTCTATTTGAAAACAAATAGCACAAAATTAGCGAAAATACACTCATTCGCAAACTAATTTGGTCTTTTCGAGAGACTCGCTTGGAACTCAGCAACTCAGTGTGCTGCACCAGGCCGCCTCATTTTTCAGTCGCTACGATATTCGGGATATCGCGATACATGTATATGTTTGCAATGTATTACGCAAAAGGTTGCTAAAAATCCGTCGACATCCCACGAGTCTATTGTATTTGTAACATCTACGCCTCGTGAGTGACCGTGTACGCTTGCTCAAGAGTCTAAATGAATCAAACGCGAAATCATGTGAGCTGAGCGGCTTTGAACTTAGTAAACCAAATCTATGTAATGTTATCAATATAGCACATTCACGAGGTCAGCTTTAACTCTAAACTCTGTTTTATAAGGAACCACTGGTGGCTATGCACGCCTCTTTGCTCTGTCCACAATTTAGCCTCATTTTGAAAAGCTGTGTGCTATAAAAATGGTTACCAAAATGAACAAAACTTACATATCCATATGGGAAGGAAATAGCTTGAAGCGCACCGTGGCCAGTGTAAAAGATGAAAACGTTATCATCAGGACCGCTGCAAGTGAACGGGAATGCTCTTGAAGAGTAGTTTATTAAGTGGCGCTCCCAAGCATAAAAGTCGCAGCAAAAACGCCGAGGAAATGGAAATTCTATGGTATTATACCCTAAAAATGTGGGTTTTCTTACACGCTACTTTAGCTGAGTTGTTGCGCAATCGGCCTTGGCTAACTGGTGATTAGGGATTTTAGAAGGGTATACAAAGTTTCACAGTTCATTTCGGTCCACGGCACACGACTATGGTGTGTGAAATGAAGATGTTCAAATTTGGGTCATTAATTCGCACAATTCCAATGCGATTTATTCGTGAAGCACACAGAACGACTGAAGTGAAGGGATAAATAACACGCAGGTCAGAATATTGTATTATCTACGCTAGTGGATGTAGTCAGTAGCCAAATTAAATCCAATTCGCGTGGTTGTTGCACGGCCCTATTAATATGGATATTAAAAATGAATTTTTCGGACGCCTGCAGGTTTGCTGTTGTATCATGCAGTATGGTGGATCCATTGGCTTTTAACATATGAAGGTGGTTGTAAGCGTATCTTTGAAATGCACTACTCATAGGGTTCCTGAAATTCCGTTGACATCCCACGACCGGTTTCGCCCTTTATGGGACTCATCAGGTAGGCGCGGTCCCCGCATTTCCGTCAACTTTATGTTCTACTTGAAACCAAATAGCACGAAATTAGCGAATATACACTCATTTGCAAACTAATTTGTTTTTTTGAGAGACTCACCTAGAACCCAGCTGGACCTCTCGTTTGTGATGGTCCCAGCAACCGAATGTGCTGCACCAGGCCGCCTCATTTTTCAGTCGCTACGATATTCGGGATATCGCGATACATGTATATCTTTGTAATATACTACTCATAAGGTTGCTGAAAATCCGTCGAGAGCCCACAACCGGTTTCGCATTTTTTGGCCTGAGAACATCACAAACGAGAGATTCAGCTGGGTTCCATGGGAGTCTCGAAAAAACCAAATTGGTTCGCAAGTGAGCTTATATTTGTATTTGGAGGCAGTTTCCCACGTTGGGTAATTTTGTCAGCTCACCATTTGAACGGTGACATTCAGCTCTTTCGAAATCACAAAACATAATTTACTCAGTGTATGGAAGCATTCCCGTTGTGTATTCACTACTGAGATCAATATTATGACCAAATTGAGACGGACCTATGTTTCGGAAACGGATATCCACGAAGCCATATGTTCCATCTGTTGGTCGTTGAACAACAGGATGCTCATATGTTCTCTGATCCTAGAGATTGGTTCGCAAATATTCCGCCACCAACCGAAGTGATAGCATTGGTGAATGATTTCGTCGGCAGTTCTTCTATCTCTCCCTGAAAGTATGCGCTGATTGGGAGAGCGCTCATCAGGCCGCTGTATTCCCAGAATATGCGCAACGACATATTCTGCATATAATCTGCATTCCCTGAAGTCGAATATTTTCTGTCTGAGGACCAAGTGCTCATCGTGTGATTGATCGTTTACCGATTTCTGTTGTATCAAGGTATCCTTCCCCACATTTGGTTGGCTACGAATCCGACTTTTGGGTTTAGTATTTTATTTTGGTTGGTCCGTTCTGAATTCCTTTTGTACGGACGCCTGATTTTTCGGAGTTTGTTTGAGTGAAGGCTCTTTCCGTTGATAAAACTGTTTTCATTTACAAGGGAATTAATTGCCCATAATTACCTCTATATTTTTCTGTCTTTCATTCTCTATTTCAACAAACTACGTGCGGGCTCGGAAACTCTGAAGCAGTTAACACGCACAGTGAATAACTGACTGGATGAGAGATTTATGAGTTTCAAGTGAATACACATTTCCTGGAATCGTCGCTTGAATCTCTATGCTAACTCATCATTTCTCGTCATATGCGGGTCAAGAGGCGGTGGAACGATTCTCTGTAGTTGAACTGTTAGGCTACTAAGCCACATGGAACACTAGGCGAGCCAGGTATTCTAAAAGCTGGGAGTGTTATCGGTGAATGACCATACTGATTTGAGGGACTGCCATCCAGCCAATCTACACGACTGCAAAGGAACTTGGATTTCCATTATTAACTATTCATGTTTTAGACAACACAATGAGTAAATCAAATCCTGAATCCGAGCAAACAAGGTCGACCGACCCCAAGTTGTACAAGACGTGGCAGATATTTGACCATTCATAACTGAGCATATATGATTGATACCTATGATATAATATTAACCCATAGTCTGGAATTGATAAACCGGGTTTCGCTTGGAGTGATATAAATATTTTTCACTACTTTCTGAGAGCTTTACTTAAAATTATTATGTGCCACATAACTTACGAGAATACTAAAAACGCGTTTCGCAAAACCGAAACCGCTGACACGCAACATTAGAATTCTGGCTGCGATCAGCAAGTACATCTCCAATGTCTACTTCCGCGCGTACTCACCTTTTCAACACCTTCTTCCCTTTTTTTTCGAGTTTCGTATCACCTTTCAGTACTTTCGCGAAGATGTCCGCTTTGACGTCCTGAAACAGATAAACTCACATAATCAATTAGTTCTGTGAAACTGGTGTTCTCCACACTCATTCTTCTCGCAGTAAGCATCGATTTACAAAAATCTAGTATATGTTCACTATCTTCACTCAGATTCCTTTCGCAATGGTCGCTGAATGATGAAAACTTAACACTTGATTGTTATTGAGTTTTCCGAGCGTGGCAGTTGGATCTGGCAGGTTGCCAAGCCGAACTCTGATTGAAACCAATAGCCAATCCTGATTCAGTGTTTGCAAATGACAAATCCAGGAAGCACCACAATTTCCAGCAGTCGATCGACGCATACACTCCACGAACAACCCTGAGTATCTGAGTAAGCTGCTTTATATTTACTATTGTTTTTTACGCAGTGTAATGGCATTACACATTGAACAAATTCTTTCATTTGCTGAGCATGGACATACTTTTCCACGGTAATCAATGACCACACCCTGGTACACATCTTCATGTTCGTAGTCATTGAACACTTTGCCTTTGAACGGATTCCTGGATTGAAAGAATGAAAATTGGCAGTTTTGCTGAGCACATACTTTTCCACGGTAATCAATGACCACACCCTGGTACACATCTTCATGTTCGTAGTCATTGAACACTTTGCCTTTGAACGGATTCCTGGATTGAAAGAATGAAAATTGGCAGTTTTTTTTGGAAGAAATTAACGTGGAGGTCAAATAGAAGGAAATGTGATGCTCGTAACTCCCCTGAAATCTACGTCTCAGAAATGGGACAATTGAAAACCAAATAGGGAAAAGCTATTTTTCTACAGTCTGATGACTATCAGATGGCAAACATTCTACGTGATATTTACTTGGGATTGTTTGCAATATCATCGTAGGCGAAGGTGATTATATTCTCCGCTGGGATCTTGTTTGCACGCAAGACGTGATAGGCGTGAAAAACGTTCGCCTGAAGGGAAATGCAAATGACAGTTGAGTTAGAGATAGCAGGCAGAGTGTGGCACACGGGGCTAATGGAGGCAAGCAGAATGACTAGAATCATGCAGTTCTTTCGAAAGCATTTGCATGCATTATACATGCATAGTAATGTGAATGTAACGTACTGACGTCTGTTCTTGTTAATTAATTGCTTAATTTGGGCAAGGCAGCTAACTTGTCTGATATTTGGCTGAAATTCATCGTTTGGAAGCTTAATCGTGATTTTATTATTTATCTGAGGCCAAGATCTGCCAGAACGTATAGGTCCACTATGCAGTTGAATTATAGTGCGCACTTCATGCTTCTCCGGAGATTCCCGAACGCGCTACTCCCCGGCAATTACTAGGAGGCTGAGCCAATTGGCCAGGAGGAGCCCACGCCATTTGGGAACACAGTTTGATGGGAATTCTTCCAAGAAACAAAAACACCTCAATTCGTCGTAAGTGCGGTAAATCCAGACATATTGCCAATACTCTTTCGCTGTATGGGGTTTATCAGTTTCTTAGGACACCATCACATGAGCCAAGTTTCCTTCATGGCTAGCACATCAGCCCTCAAACAACGCTTCCGTGATAACCCGTCCAAATGTTTTTTCATATGCCATTTTGCATCGGGTTTCACGACATCCTTCAGCCTGATCACCATCGATCTATATTTCAGTCATAAGGACTTGTGCAAATCGTTATGCGTAAGGCAGATTGATTTAAGTAAGGATGAGGCGGGTTCCTTATTTACTGATAATTGATTGTGCATATGTCTTCCAGTGGGCTGTTCCTTCGTGAGGATTTTGTCGAACGGATCTGGCCCCTGATGGCTCGTTGAATAATCGGCGGAGGTTGGTCATTTCTTGACCAACTGTGTCTCACCTAGAACTACGGTCATGTTAATGACCACGGATAGCACCCTTGATCATGGAAGTTGTTTCATCCACGAACATTCCAGATGAAACGAACTCGTAAAAAACCTTAGAGGGTGTTCCTGTTCGCCTGTAGACAGTATTGTCACTCGAACTGAAATATGCCGTATATGGGTATTTCAGAGAGAGCCTGGATTTCTCAGAGGCCTGACGATTAGCGCGATTCAACAGCCCACTGGGCAGTGTATATGCGACACTCATACAGCCTTTCCTACTACGTTGGTCAATGGGTAGAATTTATCCATGTTGGGAGTTGGACTTTCTCCGTGCAACTAGGCTCTTGGGATGAAGGCCTTAATAGGAGACACCAAATGATCTTTCCTATCTGTAGCGGAGGATACTGCTGATTAGGCATCCGAGTAGTCTGTGGTCTCCTCGACCCTCAGCGCCGCGTCAAATTGCCTTACGGTATGCGTTTATAACATCGTCACTTTCATTCTCTTAAGACTCTTGACAATTTCCAGTTTTCCAAATCTATGAACAAACGAGATGGTTACTTCAGCAGATTGTAGCTGCCTGGTTGGTGTTCGCAAATAAAAAAATTCTTGGTGAAGGGCATTCCTCATTGAATTCGTGTCATCACACCCTAATTAAAAGTATGGATTGCAAGCTTACAAATGATCTCATGTCATATCGACTGTGATTGCTGTCGTCAACCCCGTTTCCTCGTCTGCTGTGAAGCGCAGGGTGATTAGGCGAAATAACTACAAATGAAACCTTCGTTCTGTGTTTCTCTCTCATGTATCTGGCTTTCACTTGGAATCCGTTTGCCGACCATTCTCGTCAAATGCAACATCCGCGGTCAGTTCGGGAGCCACAGTCTTAGACGCTCCGAAATTATTCTTCAGTTCGTCTGGCAATCTTTAATGTTTGCGGTCTGAAACTAGCTGCGCAGCTTTTTGTTTGCTGGAGACGCTTTCTGTTTTTCTGAAATGTGGATGTATAATCCCATCAAGGTAGCTGTACTGATCACTCCATGAGTTTTCGCTGGCTTCTAACTGTCCTCGTCTGGTGATCCTAGTGGCGCTCCTGCTTGTTCAACTGGAGGTGACATTTTTCTAGGTCAGCGAACCGAATAGTTATCCGCATTGATGGTAGCTTTTTTGCAACACCTTGAAGAATAACCAGAAAAGAAAACAAGCCCATATATTATTGTGGTTGTCGGAGACATGAATGCACGTTTAGGCAAACTTAGCGTTTCCGCGACTCATTTTTGTGGCTCCAGGGCCGGAGTCGAAATGCACGGGCAATGGCGGACGCCTGAAATAGTTAAGTGTTGATGATGGGCGGGGTAACTTCCGAAACGAACGAGGGTGATTCAGCATATGTTGCCCTTCAGACAAACCAACCGCCAGAACACACAGACTACATTGATGTTAGCTATACGTGGCGTCACTCATTCTGGAACACCTGTGTAAACTCGGATCAAACGCCCGTTCGTCGGTGATTTTTGTTGCAATATTGCTGGATTTGGATGATGAGCACACTTCAATCGACCTTTGAGAAGCCTTAGAAACCTAAGGTTAAACATGCCTACCAAAACCAATATTGACGACCGTACCGGACAAGGCGAATTCCGATGTTAAATCCTACTGAAAAGTGGTGTATTCAAAATGCCGAGCACCACGCTTGTGAAATAGTACAACAAACTAAATGCAACTACTGGATCTCGGCCAACCCTCTAAATTTCTTCGAAACTTGGACAAGTTTTATTCCAGGTAGCGAGCAAAATATCACTCAACGAACAGTGAAACTTGGGGGTAAGAAAACAAGATCTGCATGTGTTGGGCATCTCTGTGTACTGAACAGGTGGAGGCTTATACTTCCCTACGCCAGGAATGCACGTTTAGGCAAACTTAGCGTTTCCGCGACTCATTTTTGTGGCTCCAGGGCCGGAGTCGAAATGCACGGGCAATGGCGGACGCCTGAAATAGTTAAGTGTTGATGATGGGCGGGGTAACTTCCGAAACGAACGAGGGTGATTCAGCATATGTTGCCCTTCAGACAAACCAACCGCCAGAACACACAGACTACATTGATGTTAGCTATACGTGTCGTCACTCATTCTGGAACACCTGTGTAAACTCGGATCAAACGCCTGTTCGTCGGTGGTTTTTGTTGCAATATTGCTGGATTTGGATGATGAGCACACTTCAATCGACCTTTGAGAAGCCTTAGAAACCTAAGGTTAAACATGCCTACCAAAACCAATATTGACGACCGTACCGGACAAGGCGAATTCCGATGTTAAATCCTACTGAAAAGTGGTGTATTCAAAATGCCGAGCACCACGCTTGTGAAATAGTACAACAAACTAAATGCAACTACTGGATCTCGGCCAACCCTCTAAATTTCTTCGAAACTTGGACAAGTTTTATTCCAGGTAGCGAGCAAAATATCACTCAACGAACAGTGAAACTTGGGGGTAAGAAAACAAGATCTGCATGTGTTGGGCATCTCTGTGTACTGAACAGGTGGAGGCTTATACTTCCCTACGCCAGCAAATACATGCAACAGGTGCAAAAAGGCCTTCCGTGAGACAAGCAATTATTGGTATACATGACCAATCATTCGATTAAACATTTTCAACAATTAGTCAACTGATTAACTGCAGCTTCACAACTGGAGAAATGACACTAAAGGTTGAGCCTCCGAAGAAACAATCGGTTGCATGTTCTACTTCGAAGGTTATAAAGCATCTGGCCTCAACCAGAAATCGCTCACGGTGAAATAATTTGTCGTTGTTTGACCATCTGATTTGCTTTTTCTGGACGGAACAAACAATCTACATAAGCTGATTTGAGTTGACAGGGACCTAAGTGAGAGTATCTGCCACCGAGTAATTAGCTTGACTTTCGTCGTGGCAAGAATGTTTCCCGTCCTTACTTCATTTCGTTTCACGAAGGAATTCGAAGACAGGAAGCTGAATTACAGCACAACAAGGAAATGTTGTAGAAAACGAACACAGGCCAAGAAATGTGTACCCATTAGCTGTAGATTTGATCAACCGTCTTCCTCAGTGAAACATTAGAGCCACATAGACAATTAGGTAGATCACAAAAGCTTGGGGCACCGGTAGTGCAAATTTCCCCTTCGAAAACACTTTCCTGTGGTCTTTAGAAAAACGTTGATATTCAGACCAATGAAAAACCGACTGAAACTTACTTGATGTCGATAATTTATCCAGGACTCGGAACCAGCGACAAGAACTGCCCAGTTCTTTGACGGTTTGTTGTTAAATATCGATGAGCAGTTGTGAACACCGGCGGCTTCCAACCATGCAAACTGGTCGATGCAGAACAAGAAGGCAATGAGAACCGAACAACGCATCTTGTCCAGGCTTACTTGAAGCTTTATTTGCTTGGAATTTTATACTGTGCGACTCGTGTGAACTGAACTTTGCCTTACTGATGTATGGCAATATTATGAAAAAAGGTTTTCACCATAAATCTAATAGCACTGCGGTACAAATGTTTTGCTAACCAGGGTATCATCGGTAAATTGGATCAGCTTGTTTAATGCTGATCATTTGCTCAAACTTTTTTCAACAATCTGTGCACATTGATGATTTGTCGTGTTTTGTAAGACAAATGTGGATCATTTGATTGAGCACCTATATGTATCAGACAGAACTGCGAGGCAAACTGAGTCCTCAAAACGGTTTCACTTAGCTCCTGGTTTCACATGTACGTTTGCTGATAACTTTGGTCCATGAGGATATTGATGCCGTTCTTGCATTAAAAAATCATGCGGCAATTTTTTTGTTTCCAGTGGGTCAGCTTAAAATTTGAAAACTCAGTTTGACTCAAAGATTTAACTCTTCGAAACCTGGGTATTTACTCACTGCGAAAATTGATGGTCTCACGACACCTCTGGTTGGCAGAAGTGGGTAAATTTGAGGGTTGCGTGAAGCTTTGAACCAAGGAATTTATTTTACTCCGTGGTTTTGGTTTACATAAAATTGCAAGTCCTGAAAGTGGAAACATTGAATTTACTCAAACCAGTTGAATGTTGCACCGATGATGCACCACCTTCCGTAAACTTTGTTTTTGATTTTCGGAATCGGGGGGCGCGTAGCATGATTTATTTTCCTATTTTGATCAGTAACCGATTATAAGACTTTACAAGCCATTCAAATTGAAGTTATATGGAAGATTTAAAATTAGTTCTCGTTTTGATGAAAATACACTTTCAAATTTAGAACCCTCATATGAACATGGTGGCCACCTTGAATTGTGGGCGTCTGGAGAAGGCTTGAATCTATGTTCGTTGATTATACGACTTCGTGTAAGAAATGGACTCATCAATTGGCGGTGCAATATACACTTACGTTCACATGCCCAATCCTCTCAGCTCTACAGTTAAAGACAATCTACTGAAAGAGATAAATTTAAAAAACCAGCAGGTTTCATAGTGAGAACATAATGATTATAGTAATAATTTAGCTACAGCACCGTTTTCCTATGCAGCCGTCATATTGCCCGAGGGAAGAACGTGTGCTGAGCGACCGCCGGATCGCCGGATCGCCCAAGCCCGGAAAGACAAGTCGAGATGCCGAGGCTGGATTTGAGATATGGTCAGTGATTTCTAGCCCTAATTATTGAATGATTATCCTGGGTTTCTAGGCTAACTTGGACTCCGAAGACAGTTTTCTACAGAAGAAGTTTAACCTTGTTCCGAAGGTTTCGTTCGCTAGGTGAAATATTATTACAAGTCCATAACCCCACGAACTGGTAACATTTTTCTCATTGTGTAGAGCGGTATCGCGTATTTCTTCCTTCCGCCTTGTGCCTTGAACTGAACGTTAACTGGTATTTGACATCAAACAGCCAAACACCACCCACTGATCGTCGTGGCATATCACCATCACCAACATCATCATAATCATGGTCCGCAACAGCTTGACATCAAAGTTAAGCACAGATGTTTCACTGTGAAACAAACGATAAAGATAGAATGTGAAAGGACTTAGTGCTAGCTCGCTGCATCTCCAAACAGTGTTTCAGGCAAACTGGAGAGAGACTGACAACGAGGACGCGAGTGACATCAATTAACAGCCATATCCTTCAGCGTCTCCAACTTGAGTTAGTTTCGAAAAAAGATTTTGGGAAGCTGCAGGGGTTGCGAGAGATTATAGGGCATCGAATAAATAACGTCCGTTTCTATAATTTTACACAAAGGTTTTCTATGGTTAAACGAGTGTTTCACGAAAATCTGGATGTGTATCTACAAGTCAGTTCTGGACACAGCTCACCTAGATAATGAATTCCTCGGAATTTTTCATGTAGGATTGTTCAAGCATCGCATCTGCTGTCGATCTCTCGAGCTACTAAAATCGGCGTTGATATTTTACTGAGTAGCCGCAACAGGATGTGTTTGGTTCGTCCGGGGATGCTAGTATGTCCACGCTAAACTTAATACCACCATTATTTTGTCAATATAGATTCAAGCGGGATCTCTTATTCTATGCAATAGGTCCAGGCTTTGAATGTAATCGTTCGTTTCCAAAGCCCGCTAACAATAAGCACTTGTTATCAATTTTCGGTCGGTTGTTTTTGGAAAACTACATGCTGCAACGTGGCAACGCGAGAGAAAACCAGATTACATGTGAAATCTTGCTGCTTTTTGTGCATCACACTCTCCTTATGTTGAGTGGGCAGATTACTCAACTTTACACCATCTGGCGTCAACCTCCATCGCATGCCGCATACATTATGCAGTGGTTCGACAGTGGAACGGTAGACAAAGTTTATTCTTGGTACTTTGTTGGATGGATGCAATTCGGTGATGACGAGAATCATGGACAAGCTTTGTTTGGTGAGAGAACTTGTTCCAACCAAATCCCACATTTATGCTACCAGCAAAACCATCCGCCTGAAGTTTATTTTTGAGTCATTCCTTCATCCACTTAGAAAAATCAAGAGGAAAAATTTTATTCTTCAACCATGTACTCACTCAATTATTGATCTATTTATCTTTTTGTCAGATGATAATGTGCGCTAACCCCACGAACTGGTAACATTTTTCTCATTGTGTAGAGCGGTATCGCGTATTTCTTCCTTCCGCCTTGTGCCCTGAACTGAACGTTAACTGGTATTTGACATCAAACAGCCAAACACCACCCACTGATCGTCGTGGCATATCACCATCACCAACATCATCATAATCATGGTCCGCAACAGCTTGACATCAAAGTTAAGCACAGATGTTTCACTGTGAAACAAACGATAAAGATAGAATGTGAAAGGACTTAGTGCTAGCTCGCTGCATCTCCAAACAGTGTTTCAGGCAAACTGGAGAGAGACTGACAACGAGGACGCGAGTGACATCAATTAACAGCCATATCCTTCAGCGTCTCCAACTTGAGGTAGTTTCGAAAAAAGATTTTGGGAAGCTGCGGGGGTTGCGAGAGATTATAGGGCATCGAATAAATAACGTCCGTTTCTATAATTTTACACAAAGGTTTTCTATGGTTAAACGAGTGTTTCACGAAAATCTGGATGTGTATCTACAAGTCAGTTCTGGACACAGCTCACCTAGATAATGAATTCCTCGGAATGTTTCATGTAGCATTGTTCAAGCATCGCATCTGCTGTCGATCTCTCGAGCTACTAAAATCGGCGGTGATATTTTACTGAGTAGCCGCAACAGAATGTGTTTGGTTCGTCCGGGGATGCTAGTATGTCCACGCTAAACTTAATACCACCATTATTTTGTCAATATAGATTCAAGCGGGATCTCTTATTCTATGCAATAGGTCCTGGCTTTGAATGTAATCGTTCGTTTCCAAAGCCCGCTAACAATAAGCACTTGTTATCAATTTTCGGTCGGTTGTTTTTGGAAAACTACATGCTGCAACGTGGCAACGCGAGAGAAAACCAGATTACATGTGAAATCTTGCTGCTTTTTGTGCATCACACTCTCCTTATGTTGAGTGGGCAGATTACTCAACTTTACACCATCTGGCGTCAACCTCCATCGCATGCCGCATACATTATGCAGTGGTTCGACAGTGGAACGGTAGACAAAGTTTATTGTTGGTACTTTGTTGGATGGATGCAATTCGGTGATGACGAGAATCATGGACAAGCTTTGTTTGGTGAGAGAACTTGTTCCAACCAAATCCCACATTTATGCTACCAGCAAAACCATCCGCCTGAAGTTTATTTTTGAGTCATTCCTTCATCCACGTACAAAAATCAAGAGGAAAATTTTATTCTTCAACCATGTACTCACTCAATTATTGATCTATTTATCTTTTTGTCAGATGATAATGTGCGCTACGCTGAGATTAGTGAAGCAACATGTGGGTAACAAGAATTCGGGATAAGCGAGATTTATACGATTCATGAGTGGAAGTTGGCTTATCACAGACAGACGTGTTCTTCCAACCTTAACAGTAACGGTTTTGTTTGACATTTTACCCTTCCAGGATTTTGCAGGGCCGCTTTTTCCATTCCGTGCCAGTTTCCTCGTTTAAGACAGTTCGACAGCCACAGGTGTATGAAAAGCAGAGAGAGGGTAATTGTATGGAACACCAGCCAAGAGGTGGAGTGTTCGTTTCTTGAGATCCACAGTTCCAGTGAACCTCAGTGATGGTAGGACAGATGTAAAATGCTTCTTGCCTTCACTTAACGGACGAACTGTTGGTGCTCATTCTCAACGGTGGAAAGGTTTTTCGTGCGCCTCCGAGTTCCCTGGAACTAGTGATTCGCTGGCTTTAACAAGTTGTGGTGCGTGGACGAAGTTCATGCATAAATCTGTGACATCAGGACCACTTTCCTGATTCAAGACGCGGACGAAGGCAAAGTGGCTTACCCCCATTCTCAGAGACTGTGTCATCCTACAGTGCGTTTTGTTTCTTTTATATAGCTGTCAGACGCCCACTGGGGGTAAATAACGTAAAACGACTTTGAGTCCTCGATCAAAAGCCGTCATCTCCGAACCAAAGCTGATGTAAACTGGTGTCTGTAAATCCACAACGACAGAGTAAGAAAACGAGTGTTCGGGTGTGCCAGAAAGAATTCAATCGAGACAAGCGTGGCGGTAAGAAGGAGACTTCCCGAATGATGTGTATGCCGGTGTGAATCTTTTTTCAGATTAAAGCACAAAACCGCTGACAATAGCAATGTGATATCTTCTCTCAATGGCAGCACCAGTGTGGGTCTGAAATCAATGAAGTAATCTGGAGTGGACCCCCGAGCTGAAGATTCAAATTGATCCCCTTAATCACCTACTCAAAAAGGGTAAGTAGTTCGTAGTGATTCAGTTGATGTTTCGATTCC